ATTTAACGCTTTAAATGGTTTCACATATGTTTGTTTTATAATAAATGATTGTTTGTATTCAGCTTTCTTATGTCAATAGATCACATTTTAACACATTTTTTTGATAAAAATGAAACTATTTTCAAAGATCATCAAACTCATGATGAAGTTACCCTTTACCTTATATCGATACACTCTAAATATCTTTTAAAAACAAAATCAATAAAAAAAATTCCGTTTTAAAATAAGAAAATAGATAGATGTTCATCAAATTTACGTGTAATTTACTATATTTTTATAAATTTAGATTTAACAATATAAGTACTATTTGATTTTATTTTCCAACAAGCAAAAAAATGTCATACAATTTCATACAAATTGACGATTTTTTGGAGCAATATTTAATATATTTCAGAAAGAGCTAGACTCATTTCAGTTTTTTGCACACTTATTGTTCTATTTACGAAGAGTAAACTAGTGAAGTTTTACCAAAAAATATCTACGCGTTTAAAAAATATACGATGTTTGCACTTTCAAGTGTGAAAAAGGATTATTTTTCATACAAAAAATAAATTAAATATTGCTCCAAAAAATCGTCAATTTGTATGAAATTGTATGAAAAAAATGAGGTTGGTCTCAAATTTTCTGACGGCACTGTATATTAATTTCCATCGATCATTCAATCTTCATAATCACTGTCATCTCCATATCTGTCATCAATTAGAGACAGATCGTGCAAGAAATCATTTTCAGCTAAATGTTTAAATATCAAATATTCAAATTCGGTTTTCTTATCCAAAACAATTTCAAAAACTGACAAATACGGCTCCAACTTGGTGGAAAAATCATTGTCCAGATCTCTGTCACCATCTTTCAGCGATTCGATTGTTGTTTCCATGTCTCCAGTCGATTTTAAATCAACAATTTTCTCATTACTTTCATCATATAAAGCACCGAACATCCCATCATGGCTTTCGGGGTCCCCATTGTTCACACGTAGCTTAAAAGTCGATCCGTTGTATTCGAAACAAATAATTTTTGAATGTGGTAACATTTCACTGCGCCACTCGTCGTATGCAGGTTCTTTATGCCAATCGGGTAAATTTGGAAAGTTTATGTCAATTGGTTCGGATTCTTTTGATGTAACAGCGTATGAATAGCCATCATTTTTTAATATCTCCAAAAAGGCCTCGGCTGTTGGTCTTTCTTTTTTTATTGCCATTTTTAGTTTTTCACATTAAAGTTGAAAGAATAATAATTTTTTGTTCGCTCAACGATTCTCTTTTACTCAACGACTCCTCAATGATTCTCTTTCGATCCAAAACACAGTGTTTAGTATCTAGAAAGAAAGTAATTCTCAATTAGTCACGGAATTACACAAATTGTGAAATTCATATTTGGCCAAGACTCGACTTTAATGATAAATATGTTTTGATTCGTTTCGATTTTACAGATAATTGCACCAGGTAGTTTTATACTTACAGATCTAATTCACTTATAATACTATTAATTCAGAAGTTTTCGTTGAACGTTTGTTTTGTTTTACTCAATGAATTTGACAGTCAAACAATTGTGTTCAACAGAAAAGCGACGTACGAAAAAGCAGTAGTGTGTGTTCACAACATCAATGCGGCATATACGGCACGTGCTGTATATATTTGAATTGAATGGCAAATACGTCTGTTTAGTAAACAGTGTTTACTCATTCTCTTTCAAACTCTCTGTATCATGGATAAAGCGCGAAAATAAATCATGCAACAAAAATGAGATGGGCGCATTTACACTGCGACTTGTGCCTATATAAACAATATTGATGTAAAGAAGACATATCTACCCGGCAAATTCCAATACCCATAACGCTTACACATTTATACGGAGAAATGGGAAAAAGTCTATAAGTGCGAAAAAAACATCGCCGCAAACATTCCTACGGCTATTCTACTCTTCCGCATATTATGTTAGTTGATGAGCTGTTGGAGTAATTTTAAACAGCATACTCCGTTCGGTAAGCAGCTAACGCACAGCTCATGCCAGTACAAACACGCACAATGATTGTATATGTGTCTACGATCTTTGGAAGAACGGAAACTTAGAACGGCAGAGAACGAATGTCGATACAGCTATAGAAACATTAGCACTCTCCGTATTCGTGTGTGTCTCTGTGTGCGTCAAAAATAACAGTTCACTCATTAGTGCTACATACAATAGGTTTCGATGTATTTACGTCGTTAGATGTGTCAATATGTTACTTTGTCTCCCACATACGCACACACTCTCCGTACATACTAAAGTTTAACATTCCATAGTCCATGTTTCGCTTAATTGTGCTCACTGTAACCGTTTTTATGCGAATGTGTGTTTATTTATGTGTATGTATTTAAATATTTTGTTGAATTTCGTCATTAGTTGACGTTTAGTTTTCGATCGTTGATTCTTTTTGTTTGTTTCATCATTTTTTTGCCAAAAACAATTTTAAAAAGTCATTTTCTTCGATCGAAACACCAAGGATTGTTTTAAACAAAATAAAAAAAAATTGGTTTTTTTTACGATAAAAAATTTGTTTGATAAGAAGTTAAGCTCCCCTCTCACACACATCGTTTTTACGAAATATCAAAGAATTTATGATAGTTGAATATTTACACAAGTGCAAGTTTCAATTGAAATCAATTATTTTAAAAAATGTGTGTATGATGTGGAGTTTCTTTTAAGAGAGCGAATAGTATTACGACTATTTGAGAGTCTAGTGTTATTTAAATTCTCAGTGCGGGATTTTCTTCGTTATAGCGTGCGTTCTTTTAACTTCCATCAACTTTTTGCTCTATGGATGTTGAATCGTTATAATTTTTGTTCTTTTTCGTCACTATTTAGTTTGAATGGAACAATAATTGAGTGTTTTATCATAAGTCTGATCTCTTTCAACCAAAATAATCAACAAAACAAACAAAATATGGTACGTAATACGATAAGGCTGAATAAACAAAACTAATTACAGTGTTAAGCACTAGGCTTGTCGCACTGTTGAAGTTTGTTTTACTGAACTATTCATTCTTATCGAGCAAATGTTATTTTTCAGGCCAAACACGATGAATATTGTTGGAAATGCAAAAAACGCGAAACAACAATCAAATGCAAAAGTTGTACGCGATCATTTCACTTTGTATGTACGGGAGCATCAAAATTGTGCGAACCCAAAACTTGGAGTTGCGATATTTGCAACACGATTGAATCGTCGACTAACACGTAAGGATTGGTTTTATTTGTTTGGTTTCAAATTGATCTAAGAACACTATCACATCACTGGCCGTAAATTACGACAAATTTGTCATCTATAGGTTGTCTTTCACTGGCTTTAATGTGTGAAATTTTTCGCTTTTCAGACCTGAAGAGTTGGAACGGATCCCAGTGATCATTCATCGTCTATTGAATTCAAAATTTGAGCAAAATTTTCTCGGCAAAAAAGTAAAGGCATCGAAATCGACAAAATCGTCAGGAGACGAAAGTTCCCACGAAACGAATTCCAAGACAGATATTTTAAATTCAATCGTCATGGATATAAAGAGAAAAGCAAATACGTACGCAAATTTCGAACAGCTTCTTGCTGACGTTGAACAAATCGTGCATAAGTGTGAGACATCAGGTTAGTTTAAAGCAAAAATATGATTTTGACTTCATTTTATTTCCCAAAAACTTTCCAATCAATTTCAGACAATCGCAAATCAAAGTATGCAAAGGAACTGCTGGAAAATTTTAATGGTGAACTCGATAGCGTAAAAATCTGCATTCAATGCCATATCAATGCAAACAACAGAGAGACGCGATCTAAATGGTTCACAATGGCGTGCGATAAGCCGCATTTGATCGGTACGTTCCCAAACTATGCTCAAAATGTCACGCAGCTAGCGCCACGACGGAATTCAATGTGATCTCTACTAGTGAAAAGACTTTTGCTCAGTTACAAACAACTGACTAGACAATTTCATAGTTTTCCGTGGTAGCGCTAGCTGTGCTACAGTTTTGCATTTTATACAGTCTCTTATGGAAAATAATTGCAAGTCTATATTATTCAATGATTTCAGTTTGGGCCCAGAAGCCAAACGAACGATATCTGCCCGGCAAGGTTATGTGCGTTAATAGACACGAATTGAATGTCCGTTTCTTTGGTGGTTCACAATTGCATCGTCCAAATGCGGACATTCCATTCAATAAATGCTATTTATACACAAAAGAAAATCCATTCAGTGCGAAAAACGATAATCAAAACGCCAAATCAAAATACGCAAAAGCATTGAATGTAAGTGCATCGTAATAATGATCCAAGCAAGGGACATATCAGTACAAAAATACCAAATTTTAAAATATGATCGAAAGTAACGCCAACGATTGTTTGGTGCTTTTTGGTATTTTGACACTTATTTGTCCCTTTGACACTTTGACTCGTTCTAATTTAATCAAATTCACTTTCACATTTTCAGGAAGCCGAAAAATACATCAGAGAATTGAAAGACAAATTTGGTGCGTTTAATTTCGAAGAAGTTAAAACCCAATTCAATCCGGAGTTGCACGATCAATACGTGCAAAACATGATTAAGAATAACGAGACAGGATCTCCAAGTCGAATCTCCAATCGATTAGGATCTCCTATCGATGAACATTTGGAGGAAATCGATGAAACCATTTTCGACGATTTTAGTGAAGATTCCACCGAAGAAACTATGCAAACTAGTTCGGATGAGCAATATGATGAAAATCCGCCCGATCAAATCCAATTGGAGCCGGTCGACTTCAAAATCGAAGACTGCATTGAAGGGTACGGTGGACCATCGGCCAAACGCATCCGATTAGACAATAACCTTTCTGAATCAAATGTGACAAACAATAATTTGCAAGAAACCGAATCATCATCGAGTGAAAATAACGGTGGACCATCTTACTTGCAGTCGTTGCAACATGTTTCCGAAGGATTCATGAAATTGGAGCAAAGTTTGAAAGAAGCCAACGAAAAAATCCAATCAATGGAAAAGGAGCACCAAGAGATATTGACGGAATTGAAAGCAGTGAATAAAAGAGGTCAATTGAAATTGGTCGAAGATTATGAACAGAAAATCAGGGAACTCAATGAACAAATCGATATGAGAACAAATGAATTGGCAGAGAAAGATCAAGAATACAAGAATGCTATTGAAGAGGCCAAGAAAAATAAGTATTGTTTAGAATGCGACAAACCGGAATTACTTACGGACATTTATCTTTGTACCATCAATTGCGTTAAAAAGTTTGGGTATGAGAAATATTGAATTTGCCGAAGATTTTCCGAAAATGCTTTTTCGACAAAAAAAAAGTTCCGAATTTTTATGAAAAGTATTTTTTGGGAAATCGTTCGAAATTCGAAAAATTACAATTTTTTTTTATTAAAACAAATTTTTTGCTCATTTATAGGGAAGCCGCAGAGCGCGAGAAGTCAAATGGGGAATGCAATAATTAAATTAAGATTTGAAATACAACCAATAGTTAGTGTAATCACTAAACTCCGTACAAAAAAAATATCAGTCCAATGACTGGGTCCTCTCAGGATTTGCATTACGGTACAAAGTTCTACATAGTTATAAGTTGTAGACGTTGAAGTGACATCGATTTAGAAAAAAATTCTTATGCTAATGTTAGAGATAGGTTACGCATGAAAAGATACCTTTGATTATTATTCATCCGCCCAATTCGAATTTGAAACCTCATATCATCAGTTACTAAGAATTTTATACCTTTTTTACCATTAGATGCCATACATTATAAGTTCTTAAAGTACTCAATTGTTGTTGATTATGTACGATTATCATTTTAAATAAGTAAAAACCAAGATGTATTACGGGTGAAAAAATGGCACCGACTAGTTCTTCGTCCTATCCTCCGTGCTTTCACGAACCCGATCTTAATTCGATCACTCATCAAAACTATGTTTTACCAGCTTTCAAATATAAAGTCACCAAATGGTATTAAATTGTAAAAAAAGCTCGCTGTGTAAGAGTATCACAGTTTATGAGCTTATCTTTTTCTATTTTTATTCAATAATAAAATATTGACCAACAGTGTATTTATTGTCGTGATATTTGGAATTACATCATTTTTGGCATTTCAGCGTAAACCTATCAGTTGTCGTA